TGCATCATACAAAAACAGATATTGTTTATAATATACTTATATATGTGTAAAATGTGAAACGGTAGGGATAATAAAAGCTAGAGAGAGATAATAGTAGGGTGCTCTGCATAAAAAAAAAAAAAAAATAATTAAATATAACAAGGCCACGCAGTTACGTTTTTTTTTTACCCCGCACGAAAAAATTATTAACCGAGAAAACGCTTACACGGAAAACAACGCAGATTGCAATTAAAACAAATCATCACAATAAATTATCACTATTATGTGCTATTGTGAAGGTGTTTACTATCATGTTATATAATATAACCCGTTGTCAAAAGCGTAGGCGTCCATGAATATTTTACAACGCGTGGGATGCGAAAGTTTTATACCCGAACATCCGGCACCGCTTCTATAATTTAATATTTCCCTACTGCAATCAATTAAATGTCTAAATATATGTATATATTTAGACATTGTGTATTTATATGTGTGTGTGTGTGTGTATGTGTATGTGTAACTGATTATTTACATAATACACACCTGTCGAAAATGTTTAGCGTTCAAACTTTTGGTGACAATTTTATGCTCAGATCTTAGAGACGTCATAGGCGCAAATAGTAAATTTCATAGACTGTGGCTCAATTCTTTTTATTCTTTTAATTCTCGCTCTCCTACCCTCACATTTAATTAAATAATTACAATTATTGACAGATGATTTGTATATAATATTGATATGTTATAAAATTTTTTTATTTATTAATAAATACATTATAAAGTCGATTGTTTTGTTTAAATTGCCCCTGTTGCTTAATACTGGTAGCGTGTCAATATTAACACATTTTCAACACCCAGGTGAAAATAATATTTTTATATCAGTATAATTTGGGCAGCTTAGAATTAATCTGGAAGAGCTAAGTTCCTTTTCATAAGCCACACCTTATTTATGACTATTTTAACCACTCTTTTTGCATGAGCGATTCGTCCACCATTTGAATCGATGATGGACATCAACGGACAAAAGTGACATTGAACAAAATGTCGGCGAGAAATCAGTTGCTGCGATACCAGGAAGACGGCATTAAGACGGACCAAAAAATCGTAAATGGATGTGAATTGGGAAAGAATTAACAGTGACTGACGGAGAGGGTTGAGTGATTCTTGAGTATCGACGCTACCACCTACGCAACCACTGGATAAAAATCGTTTTTTTTACGCAGTTATATATACAAGGGTAAATGTAATAATATGTACGAGTTTGTATACGTGTAGGCGAGTCGCGAACTCCCACGCATTATTTGGTTTTAGATCCTGTTTTCAATTGTGTAAGTCGTCATTGAAATTGTTTCCCCCGGGAAACTCCTTCACTCGACCCAGTTGACTTTTATTAGGAAATAGCGTGTAATATTTCCCCCACGTTATATGTTAAATTCAATACGTTTCGAAAAAATAACAAAACGCACGTACTTAAAACTTTATTTGGGACGGAAGAAAAAATAAAAAAAAATATTAACCCTTCAACCTCTGTTTTATTCGGGGAAAATGTGAAATTCACTATTTTATAATTTTACAAAATACACATAAAAAACACTCAAAAAGTATTATATCAATAACATTTTAAGATGATGATTTTAAAATTGAATCGTTATAAAATTGGATACATTTTATGATGTAATAGGTTCATAGCAAACATTCGTAACTGCTATATTACAACAAAATTGATTCGTGAAAGTTTTGAGATTGCTCAGCGATTCTTTCTGCACTAGCACTAATTCGCTACATTTGAAATTGAAACTTGTGTGGTACCTCGATGATAGCCAGAGTCCCGGTTATTGTACTCAGACGCTCAGAATTTAATGTAAAATGTTTGGGTCAGTGCTCTATTTGACAAAAAAAGAACACGAGCACGGAACAGAGCAATTTATTTATAAACAACGAAAAAACTACGTAGTAGTTTTATTAAGCACATGACTGTTTTTTATACAATAACGTACATAGACACAAAGTACGCATACACAAGTAAATAAGCATTATAATTATTATTTAAACTGCAATAAATTTACTTTGACATGTATGTTTAGCGTTAAAAAAACATTTAATGCTACGTATCTCGAGGGAAATAAAATAAATTATTACGGATCGCAACCGAAAAATGTTTTCCGCTAAAATTAAAAATAAACTAAAATTGATATTTAAAAGAAACAACATATTATGTAAACATCCTGTATAATGGAATAAATAGCCAATTCTCTCCTATTCTGGTGGATAAACGGGTATGGTGCATTCATATAACTTTTATCCGCACAAAAGCGTTATTATTAAAGTTTTCGCTTCTGTGTAATATTTTTTACGGGCTCTATTATCGAAAAATAAATAAATATATAAGTTTATGGGTATACAGTATGCGAATACATAATAATAGTGTTATGTTTACTGAATACATTTTACCAAAAAAAAGTTAGACCGTCGATAGACGAGTATACTTGTTGATTATACTAATACAATTTGGTGCAAATAATTAAATTAAACTAACAATAATTTAGGCGGTTATCTATGATAATGAATGACAGTAATATTGTTATCGTTGTCCTGTTAACGACTAACTGAGGGATCGCTAAACGTTTCAAGATGGGCGCCAACCAAATAACAATAATAATTATATATACAATGTGCACTGAATTTTGATGCGTTTAACTATAACTTTTGTAGCACTCAGTATAAATTACAGTCTTCGGTTTGGTGGTTCAAAAGGACCGAAAGCCCTATCGATTAAAATTCTAGCGATGTACGTATTGAGCTCTATATGAACGTTTTTATGTTTTAGAAGTTTCGCGAATCTTCAGCGAACATTTTAAGTTTTTTCAATGGTTAACAATGAGAAAATATTTCAAGTGCATTTTTTTTTATCTTTTAATAATAATTGATTAAACCAACCTTAATGGAAGAACGGATAAAAAATATTTTTCCGTAAAGTCATGACTTATATTAAATTCTGATAAAGATAATACATATTTTATATTGATGTAATAAGTAACGCGGTGTTAGCAAATTTGAACAAGTTTTAGTCTTAGCATTAGTCCACTAATTAAATAAATTGCTAATAGCTACTTCAACATTTATGCAAATTAAAATAATCGAGCACTACAAAATAAAAAAATTCAGCTAAGTTTTGATATTTTAAAATTTATGTCGATTGATTAATGATAAAAATGAAGTCTTGATTTTATTCTTCGAATGCTACAATAATAATATAATGTATCTGTCAGATTTAAACCAGTCATCGACAAACTGAAAATGTTTGATTACGTTAATTTCGATAAGATAAAAGTTCGAGTTACTTATTTTAGCTAACTGTTGGCAAAATAACTAATATTATTTCGAAATGAATATGAATTATTTTTCAGTTTTAATTATTTTAATTCCATTGATGAATTTCAAAGAGTCTTATTAATACTTAATTATAATTATCAAAATATTTTAGGAATAAGGAGTGTTTGATAATAAAATAATGACTTCATGCTAACCGAATTATGATTTCATTATTTCAATTTTATTAAAGAAATTACTTTAGATTTTAACTTTTTTAATATTAAATATCCATGTATTTATTTTTAGTTTAGTTACACTGGCAATATTTCTATGGTCTTTAGAATAGTATAATAGTAAGAGTTTAAAACACATATTTAAAAACAATTCATGTGACTGTTACTTTTATATGTTTTTAATTTAAACTGGCTGATACCATCTTAAAAATTCTGAAGATAAATTAGATATCGTTGTATAGAAAATATACCTAGATGATTTATTTTATGGCTATGTGATTCGTCTCGAGTTGTGTTAGTACATAACTGTACAAATTATTTGTACTGAGCTATTTCGTTAGATTTATCATATTATATCAGGAAGAATAACGTACGATTTAATATATTTTTTTTTTCTCTATTACACTGTGATATTGGAAAATTAGTGTCAGGTCGTTAGATATTAAACCTCAAAGTTTTTTGTTAACTTAATATGTTCAGACGAAATTGTGTTGTTATATAAAGTAGTTAACTTGTTCATTGGTCAAATTGATTAATAATATTATTGTGAAGTATTATATATTGTAAGATCTCAATAATATACTGTTCTGACAATATCAATTGTCCAGAATTGAATTGAAGATGAGAAAATTTAAATTTAAAGAGATATATTAGTTAATAAAGACATTTTATCTAAATAATAATAAAAAAAAATACTTTTGTTATTTAAAAAAAATATTTAGCAATATAAGCCGATATGTATTTTTGGTTAAGTTATTTAAAAAAAATACTTTTGACAATTATGTTTGTAATAGTATATAAAAATAATATTTAATATAGACCAGGAAATGTATTAAATTTAAATCATTCCATAATAAAAAGCTACGAGAACTTTTTCATCTATTATCAATCGGATTTAATGCATTTGGTTTACACTAGTCATACATGAGTACGGTCAGTGGCATACATCAATTACGCAATTTTTATGTGGAAGAAATATCTGTGGGGTTAGTAAGAAATAGTTTACATTTAATAAATGTAAAATAGATATACTTAATTAAATAATAAAATATAAAAATTGCAACTTTTTTTTCTAAAAAAATCAAAACGCTGCCGCTAAAGTAAAAAGTCAAACAAAACGTTAAATTATTCAAGTGTGCAGTAATTTTTTATAAATATGATTCACAAATGAACTATAATTTATCATCATAAGTATATGTTGTAAAATACACTCGTGTATTTTGTTAAGGCTATTTGAAACATAAAAACCTTTATCATATATTATTGTTAGTAGAGTTTAGTTGCCATACGTAAATATTTTTAATGTTCTTTATGACCCCACTCCGTGACCACTAAGATGATAGTGCAGCCGGGTTTTATATATTTATAAAAAAAAAAAAAAAAACTAATAAATTTAACTTAAAACTACTCTCTAAGACAGTGTGGATTAAAACCATTGCACAATGTGTAATATGTTATAGTATATAAAATTGTACTAACTCTCCCTTCCTGGATGAGCTTCTCAATGGCCTGCGTCACCGATTTGTCGTCCTTGGTGAAAAAAATATATTCAGCCATGTCCTCAGGAGATGCTTCTACGTTGAAGTACGATGACACGGGCGGGGGAAACAGAGCGTCCTGCGAATGTACACAAAATCATATAATAAGGTAGAAAGACAACGGTCCTTCAAGTCAAGCATTTAGTAATATTAACATTGGCAGTGTCGGATTTACGATGCCCGGGGCCCTCGCAAAATTAAATAAATGAGAGTTCCTACAAAATTACTGTGTTACGTTCACTATTTAGCAATAAGTTTCATCGTTATTCTGAGCATAATGGTGTTTAACAAATTAAATGTAAATATTTGTTGAAAAATAATAACTTTGATTTTATTTTCCTTATTATATTTCAATAACATATTTATATTATGTTAACGTTTTGATTAATTAAAACAAAATATTTAAAATGCAGTCAACATGGATTTAATTATTTTTAAGGACAAAATAAGCCACGAGAAAATAGTCTTCGATCATAAATGTTTTGACCTGCACCCCGGAGTTTCCCACAACTCTAAATTCAATTCTAAACATTGATATATCTATTTCGAAACAAACTCTTACATAGCTTTTTTTGTCATATTCCCTGTATTTGCCATCCCGTTTTCTCGGTGACTCATCATCGGATGCGTACGATGTCTGTTTGTGTATACCTTTACTTGGTATGTCCATGGACAGTTGGACTCTTGTGTCTGGCTGACCACCGGCGTTACGGTCATTTTTCGAAAGTACTTTTTGTTCCAGTTTGGCCAACATTTCACCATTTTTGTTTACTAAATCAACATATAGATTTGAAGAACAATGCATCAATATTTTTCATCATATTTCACAACTAATTTAAGTGGAAATATTTATGTTACATATTGATCGGTCGCTATTATTTATTATAGATAGATCATTTGATATTTTGAATATTTTTTTCTAAATTCTAGCAAAATTATTTAATTTTAGATTATCAAAAGTTAACTTTTTTGAACGAAATAAATCAGCAATTTAACTAGGTAGTTAAATTAGACGAATTTTCATTTTGCATATCAACAGCTGATAACATAGTCACCCGAAAATATAAATCAACTTATATTTATTCATAAAAATAAACTGTTGATAATATAAAATAATTTATTAAAATATGTATTTATACATTATTCGTTACTATTTCTGTACTTATTTATCGTTGAATTGACTATTATTAAATAATAATAAATATTGTGGTTATTTCTGTAGTCATTTTTTATTAAATTATTATTATTAAAGATCAATATTGTTTCTGATGCTGTTATTATTGTTCATTATTGTTAGTACAGAATACATTAAAATAATGTGTAGTTATAAATACTAATTTATTTTGAATTGAAATATTGTTTAATAAATATAATTTTTATTTTTGTATACATGTGTCATTTCGTTGCAACGCAGTCTTCGTTGAGAGAAGATTTATCAAGACACAGGTGATTCTTATTTCTGACATGTAAGCGAATTACGATTATCAGTGCTCATAGAACTGTTGAAAAAAATTAAAGAATGCGTCATAGATAAATATATGCAATATACCAATATGCAAACAATAAAATATTAACCTCTAATAAAACGTGTGCAGGCTTAACATTTTTATCTAGCTAATTTAACGTTCGCCATTCGAAAACCGTATATATATCCCCTTAGGAGTTATAAACATTTATTTACTTGCATTTATATGTGTGTTTTTCGCACAAATAATCATTGCTCAAAGAAAATATTTATTGATTTATTTTTGAATCGTATTTTATACATTGTTTTGTCAGTATTTTATTCCTATCGATTCTTATCTCAGGTGTCTAGTTATAATGTATATGAATATTATAATCAAATTCGATATATGAGATATCGAACGAATAAGATGCAAATAATACCTCAATTTTAAGATTTTACCCTTCCCCCTTGGTACCTTCACTTTTTCCGTATTTCTTTCTATTTGTATTCAAACAGAAAAAGAAATAAATATCAATAAAAATAATTTTTCTAAATCTAGTTTTTCCTGTACTAACATTGTTGTTTGATTTTAGCCACAGATTTCTCTTTTCCATTATCATTTGTGTATGACGATTCATGCATATTTGTCATTGAAATTGACTCGGATTGGCCTCCTTTATCAATAAAATAAATCAATATAAATTAAAAAAAAATTTAATAATCAAGTCATTTAAGAAAAACAATCACCAGTTGGTGCTTTTAATTTCTCCAGTTCTTGGACATCTTGATCAATCACCTATAAAAAAAAATATATACAATTAATTTACTAATTATAAATGTAAACTATCCACCCATTTTTCTCTTTGTACAATTACAATATCATATTTAAATTTCTATCATTTTGTTGTATCAACTAGAATGATACACAAATAAAAGTACATGATATTATATTTGTCAATTTGTTAACTTATCAAAACTTCTGACGTGAGCAAACCATAAAATAATTTAAAAAGCATTTAAACAAATTAAAAAAATAAACTTCCTGGAAATCTTATGACTTGAAAAAACAAAATTAAAATTTATTTTATATTTAAAAAAAAAATTTCAGTTTATGGTGAAATGTCACTTTGTACACCTCTTATATATATCACAGTCAAGAAATAAGTAATTGTTTTGTTGTATTAGCAAACCAACCATCTCATTAAAAAAAAATCCATATTTGCAATCATATATAATATAAAGTAATCAAGACAATCCGGTTTTATTGAAAATCATAAAAAAAAAACATTTACTCATGAAAGGATCATGAGTTTATCTAATTTTACACCACTATAATATGTGAGTCAACCTTTTCATTATAAACAACAAATTGGCAATTTCAAATATAATCCAAATGAAATTTCCTTCATGGCGATTTAATGAAAACCTAATAACTAATAACAGAAAAAACTACAGTAAAAATATCACAATTACAATATATCCGTGAAATACTACACTTGTATTCAAATGGCGACCACATGTGTATACAATTATACGTTGGAAATTGAAAAAAATTCAGGCGGATTGGCTGTGATATTGATGGATAAGAATATTCAATTATAAAACTTATAATATCTGTAGTATATTTATGGTAGAAGCCTTAGCAATTCTCAAGGACATGCGAAATATTCATTATATAGGCGATCGGAAAGGTTTAATAATGTCCAACTCCATATATATTCTGATAAGAGAATACAAAATACAACGTAACAATATCTTAACCTATTACCGTAGCGATGATATACCGTATCAACGAATTAAATTATCGCAAAATCGAATATCTTCTGTACGAGTTCCTGTGTAAAAGGAAACGAATAGTTGTGAATAAAAAATCTATAGAAGTTACGCAGACGCTAACACCAACCCAGAATAAATTATGCCTTCGTATAACGTTTTACGCAACTTCAATAGACCCGATAAAATAGTCTTGTCAACAGTAAAATATGGAAAATCACAAACTTGAAAAGCTTGAGCTGTTAATACTAATGTAGACCAAACTATCTACCCTAAAAATATGCGATTAAAATGGAAACAAAAATATCCATCAACAAGTTAAATTCAAGCGGTCAATTTTATAACAATATGGGTTGACTGATAATCCTCAAGTTAATGCCAAAAATAACATTACACTCCATTAATTTAAAACATTTATAATTAATATATAATCGAAAATATAAAATTAATATAAATTACGATGTTTTCATTGATTTGATTTTGCAAATTTCTATTTTACCTTTATAAATTAAACACTAGAGGGCAGTGAATATTTTATGGAATTTTCACTGGGTGACAAAAAAAAAAAAAAAAAAAATGCACTGTTTAATATTCAAACCTTAGAAACTTTAATAGTACGATGCAAACTTGTAATGTATATATAACCAGTGTTAAAATAAAAATTGTACTCGTTCACGTTCATGTTAATTTTTTTAAAGCGCATACGATCACGTTCAAGTTTTTCAATAGACCTTTGAAAACAAAGCATTAAAAGCAATATGCGGACCCGTATATGATAAAGTAGCCAACTGCTGGCTTAGAAGGAAAATTAGAGAAATAAGGAAAAGAACAAAAATACCCGCAATAACAAATTACACAAAAAGGTAAAGTCTAAAATGGATCGGTCATGTTAAACGGAAATAAGCGACAAACAAAGCTAGACCAACCATGGATTGGCAGCCAGAAGGGAAAAGACCATGGGGATGTCAAAAAACGCTGGATGTGTTATACCATCGTATAACACAAAACCTAGAGAGACTAGAAATTACAAACTGGGAAGAGTTGATCAAAGATCTTGTAAATTGAACAGCATTGACAGAGGCGGCGACAACTCTTATAGAATCATAGAGCCATATGAGGATGATGATGAAATAAATTTGAACGTCCCAAAAATCGTTCAAATTCATTGAAAATATAAACACTGTTCATGTTCACGTTCAACCGGAAAAAGCGAAAGACGTTCGCGTGTCGTTTACGAAGTATAAATGTGAACACATGAACATTCAAAAAGCGTTTCATAGAATACATTATAATACAATATCATATGGTTTTTATCGCATGGGTTTTCCATTGAAGATATTCTGATAATCAATATAATTTATGTTTCAATTTCGTACCATCAAAGGAAATGATGAACAAATGACAAAATCAAGCGTTATGAACTACTAATAAATAACATATTAAAATAAATACAAACATCTTAATTGCTACCAAAACAGTATATACCCAGTAATTAAACATATCATCTTATAGGCAACAACAATTAATTACTAGGCGACATTTGATGTCGCCCAGTATTAGTTAAAATACGCACTGTTAGAGCGCAAAATAATGTAAACTGGATACAATATACACCAGTGAATTAATTTTCTTGTTATTTTTTGCTGCATCTAATTTGTTTCTGATAAGTTTTTGACGTACCATCAATAATATATAGTGTTATAAATTATCACTTCTTACCCTCTCCCTACCCCTGTTTATAACTTAACCATATAATATTTTTTCGTACATTGATCGCTTTATTAAAAATAATGGATTTTTCTGGACACTATATTTTGATTTAAGAATGAAATAATAAAATCTAATAATAAAACTCCTATACAGTTAAAAGTTACTTGAAGTTTCTTTGAAGATGTATTAGAACAGTATGACATTAAACTATAGTTACTGTCAGTGTCGTACATTCGATCTTGCTCTGAAGGGGGTTTAACAAAAATAATCGTTATCTTTTTTTTTTCGTTACACAGATAAATAAGATAAATAACTGCTACAAACCGATATTATTTTATACAACTTTTTTAACAATTTACAGTTTACTTTTACTTTACAGTAAATTAATAGCTATTGGAATATAAGAACAATATAGTTAACAAAACTTTTCAAACACCTATCAATATAATTATTGTATTATCTTAATATTTTAAATTCAAAGCGTAATAATGAAACTACGAATATATTACACGTTATCAATGACCTGGGGGGGGGGGTTGAACCTGGACCCCCCCCTACGTACGCCACTGGTTACTATATGTTATATCACTATCTTGGACGTTTTGGCGCTGCCGTATTAATGCTGATCTTTTTGACCCCGTTAGATTGTCGCCACAATTTTAAAAATTTATTCATTAGAAAAATATAGATGAAACATGCGAATATAATAAACGATGTAACAAGTTGAATTGTGAAAAGGCATTAAATGTAGTGTCCTAATAACAATAGTAGTGTTAAAGTTTATTATTTTATGTTGTTAATTATTGTATAGCTATCTTGTTTGTCCTAATAACTGATTAAGATTAATTCGATTTATTCGTACATTCCTACATCGTACCCACAATGTCAAACCAGTCGTTTATAATTTGTCTCAGAAAAATGATACGAAAATAAAATTGTAATTGAACTTTAGACCAAAGCTTTATTAGGATAATACAAAATATAATTTTTTTTATAAATATGAGGGAGTATTATTCTTTTTTCTTATGATTTTTTAGTCTATTAAATAAAAGTATATATTATTTAATAAGTTATATTCGTATAAAATAAATAAATTGTTTTAATTTTTATAATTCATGATTTATATTTTATAGAGGCTTTCTCATATATATTTGTCAAATGCACACTTTTTTAAAATAGCAGCGCCAAACTGGTGGCGCCAAAAAGATCAGCCTCAAACCGGTTCAGCGTCAAAACAGCAGCCGACAGTGGCGCCAAAACCTCCGTGCCCGGTAATATCAATATAAACATAGATCTTATAAATACAAAAATATAAAGTTAGTCCAATAAACATTTATATAATATTGACTTATTATTATTTTAAAATAATTATTTTGAAAAAATTTGTGACAAGCATTTAACAAACAATGTACAAAGTAATCACTGCTTGTAATGTTTCCATATGCTTATAATTTGTTATTAAAACAAATTTATTTAACTGTTGTCCTTGATAGTTTTATTTTTTGTTAATTTAACAGTTAAAATTCAAACATAAATTCACTACATTGTGGGCTATTAAAGTATTATGTCAGAAAAGTAGAGGGGAGGGGTTTGAGAAAACTGACATTATCTTACATGAGAAAAGAGAACTAAATCTCAAATTTGATGTCAGTATTTTGTCTATCAAGATTTAATGTAAAGCGTGAAAAAAACAGAAGACCATGAATTATCGACAGCATCGAAGATGTGTCATCGTATTTAATCGTATTAAGTACTATATTTATTTTGATAACTGAAGAAAATAATTTCACCATTAAGAAAAATATTATTTGGGGGGGGAGTGGCGAGAGTCTATAAAAAACTTCAACGTAAGATAAGAGGAGGAGGTCAAAAATTCTATAAAGTGTGCTAGCTTGAATATCTCCTTATTTGATTTCGATTTAAATTAAAATAAACAATTACAATGAGCACTTAAATTATCGGTACAATTTACCTCAGAAACTGTTATATTACTGTTTTTATTGATGATATAGTTCGTAATTTAGGGAGCAAAAAGTAAAATATAATAACGCTCGAATTGCAGCAGTCTTTTGAATTATTGAATTCCCAGATGTATTTGATGAAAATTAACCTGTATTTTCATCACCGACTAAAACCGGAATATAGTATTATAAATTATTGGATATGTTACGCTCCCAACCACCATGGTGACCTTGAATTTTAAGGTTGTGTAATATGTATATCTTGGAAATGATATAACAGTTTGATTTAAATATGTGATCCGAGATCGTTAACTTGGATTTTAATTGATATTCGCTCATTTGTATCCCGTATTCGTACAAAAATATATCTTTTTACTTTTTTTTTGTAAAAAAACTAAACATAATCAAATATTTAAAAAATCTGTTTTTAACACTTACCCGTGCAATGCCATTTTTAAAGTTCACATCTTGTGGAATATCTGAAAATTAAAAAGAAAACATTAAATTGTACATTCTTATATGATTAAAAATATGATTAAATAAATAGAAAAGACATTCATCTCCAGCAAAAAAAAAAAAAAAAAATGGGATACACATAGAAATAAATATTTGGTCTATACTTTAACAAAAGTATTCTCTTTCACCATGAATATTGTTTAATAAGAATCAAGAGCAAAATAAAATGTAATACAACATTTTACAGCAATTAGGCGAATTATAAATTATTTATAGTTTGGGACTGTCAATCGATTTAAATTGATGGTCTCATTTGTTCATTTCAATAGCGTGTTTATTTTAATTTAATCACTTACCAGTGATAGATTATACCAATATTAGCTTCATCGTATAAAATAATAAGTATAATAATAATAACAAAAAAAACGTAGTTAGATAAAAAATATTTTGTTATAGTTTTGTAAGTATTTATTTGTATGTATGAAATGCAAATTCGAATTATAGTTTTATAATACATAACAGCACTCTAATTAAATAATGACAGTTGGAATTTAAACGTTGCACGGTTAGTTGATAAATTAACTACGACGTCCAGATTCTTCGAATGCTATTATTTATCATGGTTATCAAATTTAAATGAATAACAGAACAACTAGCACGTGCCAAGATGAGCGAAGGTAGACGATTGCTCAACATTCAGTCCCCGTATCCTTGTCCGTGTTTTTATGGAAACCACTTTTTAGGAAATTATAATAAATGTAATACATGTTATAAAAAGTTTTAAGGAAAAAAAAAAGGTTTTCCATACATTATAAACGGGTGACCGACGTGACAAAAATTGTTAAATAATTCCTATGGACAATATTGTTTGCAAATAAAATATGCAACCCATATAATTATTATGCAACTATTGAACTTCTGCAGCATCGTATTCCTGCACATTACTACATATACTCGGTAATCCGGCCGTTCGATAACCCGATATGTCCAGTAATCTTGTAGTATTTTATATTAAAATGTTGTCTTAAAAAAAGGATTTTTGACTGTTTGTCCTTTATGTATTCCTAAACGGCTGGACCGATTGCGATGAAATTTGGTACAGAGATATATTAGACCTATAGGCAGAAGATAGGCTGAGTTAAAAACTGACAGGCCCAAACACGGGAGGTGCTCAAACAAACATTTTGATATTTATGATGAAAATGTTTTATTTATAATGTTGCTATTAGTTTCAATAATAATAATAATTAGTGCGAAATAAATTATTATATCTGAATCTGCTAGCATAATCACAGGTAACGAATGCAACACAGTTTGAGACATATAAGAGGTAGGATTTTTAACGGGCTACGAAATGCAGTTAGTTAGGCTATTTAGGAATTAAAAACAAAAATCAAATAATAACGTTTTTCTTTGAACTTGTACCATAAATTAATTAATTCATAGTGTGCCGTAAATTTGTATGTATGTATGTACCTATTATTTATAAATTTCAATAAAATTAATTAAATGTTTTCAATAAGTTTATGTGAAATTCTATTGATTCTACGTTTTTTTTTTTTTTAATCCAACAATTCTCTGGTCTTATATCTGTCGGATTATCGAGAATCTACTATATTTTTACATTACACAATCGAACGGGCGGTGTTAACAAAAAAACGAAGTCGTTTTTATTCCATCGAATAATTATCGCCATTTCGACGTGATGCTGTAAACGGTTTTTTTTTTCGAAACACGTGTGTCGTAACCTCCACGGGGTGCCATAAATGTCGTCGGACAGCTTTCGAGTTACGTTTTAACATTACACACACACACACATACACACATATACACATTTATATAGTAACCTTTTACATCTTTGATCACGCCGACGCCTATTGTTGCACTCGAATAAACTGGTACGCCCCCTCCCCCACCCAAGGGACGGTTGTCGCGATCAGCAGATTCATCTAAGCGCACGTGCGCATATATATAGGACCGCGTCTGAGACCATCTTCACTACACATCGCGGTGCACTCAACGGGGATCACAGTAACTCTCGATCTTGTCACCGTACGCCGTCAATCTCCGTCGAAATGCAGGTAAGAGCTTTGATCTGTGTTCGTAACGAAACCTTTTTCCACCATCACCAACACCACTACCACCACCAACACTGCCACTAATAAAATCGTCCGTGGTCGCACTACATATTCATTTGTTGTCTTACACACAGGTCACATTAGTCCTATCATCGTTGCTGTTGGCAACCGCCGCAGTCAGCGCATACCCGCAGAGCCCGGAGTCCAAAGCCGCCATCGTTTCCCAAGATTCAGTGCTGAACCCCGACGGAACCTTCAAGAACAAGTAAGTGATAATTTTTCGAAATAAAACCCAGTCCAAAACGTATCATATCTGAGTATACTCGTTCGACTTCGCTGCATCGAATCGTACCGGCCGGGATGAGCTCCGACTCGCGTTGTACGAATGAGAGATTCTGTTACGTTTTCGTGATCGTCGAACTTGTCACTTGACATTCGGTCAAATATGGTAATTTGTAAAAGCAGTCATCGTTAGAAATTTGTCCGGCCAATCGTTCACGTAACGACGCCGCTCGTTTTGCATATACTGGTTTCTTATTCGGTGAACCGCCACAGGCATGACTGTCGCGAAGGCGTTGGTTAAGAATTCAATCGAATACCGTGTTCGAGCAAAGTAGCTAGTTATGTATCGTATCCCTCGTAGTAAGCCGATAAATAATAATAATTAAACTCACAAAAGTCGTATCTATCGTTGAAATTTCCCACGTATGTGCGATACGACTTGCGTAAACGGTCCGATCATTCTGTAATTGGGTCTAATGTTTTTCCTATGTTTATAGTTTCCAGACCGAAAACGGAATCAGACAGGAACAGGTCGGTTCCTTCAAGGCAGGACCACTCGGTGAGCCCGTTTCCGTGATCCAAGGTGGTGTGGCTTACGTATCTCCGGACGGACAGACAATCCAAACCGGATACATCGCCGACGAAAACGGTTACCAGCCGTACGGATCCCATCTGCCGACTCCACCACCAATCCCAGTCGCAATTCAAGATTCCCTCAGACTTTTGGCATCTCTGCCCAGCACACCCGAACCTCAATACCAGTGATCGCAATAACCGCTTTCATCCCTTCCGTCTAACTGTTGTCATTTTTACTCTTCACTTCCGACTTTACGTACCGCAACATTTATATCAGTATCGTAGTGATTTTTGCCATCCTCCTTCTTGCCGTTTGTATGTTCGGAAACGAGCGACTATATGTGCCGATATTTGAACTTGTACTTTTTAACTGTATAATTATTGTGTATTCTTTTCTGCACCACAATATATACTGTCAATTAGTAATAAAATTGTACACAAAATAAAACCAAATATGTGTTTTTTATTTCACTTTTTTTCTTCTACGAAATCTTCAACAACAACCCGTCACTTTTTCGCAATGCATATGAACATTGATTTTTAAAACGCTAATAATATAATCTCGAATACTTATTAAAATTGGTTATTAAATTTGCTCATTGAGGCAGTTTAAGTAGTATTGGCGGTGGAGTTCGTTACGTAATATGTAAAGCTATAACTAAATTATATAATATAAATATTTTTTCTTTTACATTGCATTATTCCTAAGTTGATGTTTTAAATTATTCATAATTAGGTATTATAGACAACTGTATATCAACTCTTCATAAATACAGACACATGTGACTCAAATTTAATTTCAATTTATTCCAAAATGAGTTTATGATACATACTTCAATGATTGCATTTTCACAGATAGTTTAAATTGTATACTAGATTATTTTTATTTTTAAAATCCATATTGATTATTCATATTCTATACCAATATAATATACCAAATAACCGATTTTTATCATAAATGTAATATAAATAATTTTATTTCATTAAATGTCATTAAAAATAAGTATTTTAACCGTACCTGTAGAAATTATATATAAAAATGGGAAAGAAAATGTTTTTTTATCTTAATTTCACGGGACTTAATTGTTATAAACCTTAAAACAACCCAGGACTCAATTCGTCATACAAAAATTATACTGGGACCCAGTTCGTATACAGCCTTTAAAAAGTCATATGAACGGCCCCATTTTAATTTTGTGATGAACGTGAAACCTAATTGTATGCTATAATAAAGTAAGCCAATTGAATTACGTAATATATAATATTTTCAATAACACATACATTTAACGAAATATGTATTAAAATAAAAAATAATATATTACCAAATATTACCAAAAACAATTGAAGAATTTCAAAAGGCTATAAGCAATTTTCTATTAAAATGAACTTGATTGGCCAATGGAATGGTTAACAATACAATATTTTAATTTGTTTAAAAAAAATTATTTAGTAATTTTAAAGTGGCGCAAATTACATTTTTATAGGTACTCGATGGCGCAGATTACTTAATGCCCTTTTATTTAATTTTATGTAGCGCAAATTACAACTTTAAAAAAAAGCACAAATTACCAAAATTAATTTTTAGATGTGGCGCAAATTACATACGCTCCTGTACCTTACCACAGAAGTGTGACGTCAGTCGGCCGAAATACTAATCTTTTTACGCTTCGATTCAAATTCATTCGTGCGTGGGTTCTGTACATAATGTCAATAACGATATATTTGACATGTTCTAAGCTCTTGGTCAACAGGATTCGAAATCACGGATTTAAAATAAAAAATTTCAAACAAACAAAAGCTCTTTTATGCCGATGCGCGTCATCCCGAATCGATTCATCTCCATACACATTCCGATTTCATGTGCACGCGCGCGTGCGCACGTGTGTTTATTTGTCTTTTTATTGTTTAAAAACAAATTTGAATGTTTGAAAGTATAAGATTTACTTTTCATGAAAAATAACAGACTGTATATGTTTATAAAATGTAGAAACAAACGTAAAACGATTCTTGTTCGAATCGTTCAATAAATACACCCACACAGTAATTTAAAATATATAATACAACTCGTCGGTATAACTATAATAGCTTAATACGAAAATAGATCTCGGCCATATGTCCTAGCATCTTACGTGACCCGATGAATCCTTCAATAACGACGATATTCTCACTTTGACGAACATTTACAGTAGATACACTGAATATTCACATAATTATAGAAAGTGCAATTCAGTCTAAGCTAAAATCGTAGATTACTGTTAGACTAAATTGTATATCCCATATCAATCCGAAATATATATTCTTAGATAAGAATAATTTAACTGGCTTCGATGGGGGAAAAAATCTATTTACAAATAGAAATCGGATGAACTACTGTGGCAAGTGCATTTTATAAGTTAGAAAGTCAAATTGGTAAAAGAGTTTTTTATTTTGGATACATTTTATAATTATATTAAAAATGTTAAAGAAATTCAAATAATTATTAGATATATTTTAGGTAAATATATAAATACTTACAGAACATCAAAATAATGATTTATTAAACTTCAACTCTCAAAAAATTACTCATTTGTTTTAAAAGAAACTCAGTATTTTTAAAGATTCTTTAATATACAAAGAAACCCGTGCGAGAACAATTTAGAAATCTAGATTGTTCCATCTTATCGTTTGCAATATCCCTCCCTGCACACATCGGTCCGGAAATGGGTTTTTAGACTTGTTAATAATAAAGTCTACACGGCGAGTGTGCGCTGAAACGTGGGCTGTTGTGTTTTAATACGGAGAGATGACACGAGAAGTCCCCGTGTCTGAGGTGTTTTTTCTTCTTTTTCTTTTTTTTTTGGGGGGGGGGTCCATCTATTTTGCGCTCGATAACTTTTTTCGCCATCTTTTATACACGTGAGCACGTGGTTTGAAATTGAATATGCCTTGAAGCGGGTCCAATTGATCACAGTTATTGTCACTTAAGGACAGATATTTGTATTATTTTATTCTTTTATCATATTTTATTTTGTTTTGTAATTATAATCATCTACTTTTTAAAGTATTAGTTATATTTTATTATTACTATTCAATATTATTTCATTATTTTATCAGGACGTCTTCTTATTTGTATAACATGTAATTACTTTTTTATCAGTACTGTTTATTTGAATAAAGGTAAGGCGGTGCTCCTACACACCATGAGTATTAATTAATATCCATGTTATTATTTTAATTTTGTATCACATTAGTCATTTGATTGAACATTTTAAGTATATTGCTGCCATTAGTGATTGTGACCAACCGTACAAGTAGGAGTCATGTACGATATTCAATGATATTTTCAGTCATGAAAAACAACAAAGAAAATTTTAAAATCTTCTTCTTCTTCTTCTAGGCTTTTACAGGCTTTTAAGGCTTATCGCCGCAAAATTACATTAATAGAATACTTTCCGTGACTATTTTTCAACTTCAAGATTGTTGTATTCTTTCATTACTCGAAATATATAAATGACATATTTGTAACAAAAAAAAAAAAAAAATTCCATTATGCATTAAATCTAAAACTATTAAATCTTAATACAATTGTCAACAGAATTTAAAATGCATTGTAACACTAACATAGTGAAATTATTAAAATTTGCATTTCAAAATATATGAAAAAAAAAAAATAAATACATAGTAGACCCTAAAATAATCGAAAAATAAACTACCTCTACAATAAATTATAACAGTATCTAATTTATGAAAGGAAAAACTAAATGCATACATTTTTCATGAAATATTTTAAGAAATTAAATTTTATGATAGAATAGGTTATGAAAGGGTCAAATTAAGATGAAAAAAAATTAGATTTACCTCTATTCTTTATCATAATTTTTTTAAATTTAAAAAAAAATGCTGACCAAATTTCTAAACCAAGGTACTTAAAACATGTGTATTAGAACACTGTAGTTATACCCAATAAATTATAGAGAAACGTATATAATTTCAAAATCATGTTGAAAAAATTTTTTTTATTTTTTTTTGTTATTTATAACATCAAAAAAAAAAATTAATAAACCAACGATGTACTGTAACATTTTATATAAATACATAAAATATTATAAATAACATTTTTTTCACAATCTTGGTGATAATACGAATATATTTACTATTTTATAAATATCAAAATTAGACTTATATCTAACTATATTTTAAAATGCGTTTTATTTTTTTAATACAATAGTGTTTAAAATATAGTCCTAAAAAAATGTGTACTGATCTATTTTATATGAAATTGATTTATTCGTTAACAATTTAACATTTATGTTAACAATAATAATGAAAATAAAACTTTACCGTTTGGAAGGATTAAACGCATAAATGTAGGCTGCATCAAAAATATTCGCTATCGCATTTAGACTAGCTATATTGTAGTATATATGATTGTATTTAATGACATGATCAGATTAGAGTACAAAGCTCTTTTTGTAGTATATAAAGGAAGTGGATTTGGTGAAAACGCTGGGAAAATCAAATTGATATGGAAATTGCACACACTGTGCCATTTGGAAAATGTTTTTTTTTACATCTTCACGAATACGAGTAGAAAGGAAGTTCCATTTACTGAATGAAAAAATGAAAAACAAAGGTAGAATTTATAAATACCACTGAATCTACATGACTGTCCATTGTAAGTCTCATTATGATCTAAAATGAACTACCTGTCATTCACAAGAAATGTGTGTTGTAAACGGTATGTAAATGTTATAAAAATTAAACAAACCTGTCAAATTCACAGTATACTAACTTTATAGATATAATGCATATAATATATATATATATATATATATATATATCATATATTATTTATTTTATAATGGTATACCATTATATAAAATTCATGGTCACGATAGGAAAAATAAATTATTTTCTATTCTCCACTAAGATTTTTCAATTATTGAATTACTACCAACTCGTTCAAGAGTATATACATAAGAGGATTTTAAATTAAATTAAAACGATATATCACGTAGAATATTTGAAAATGTATACCATAAATTGACGAAAACTAAGTGTAAATAGTTGAAATTAAATATACTTTGTCAATGACCGGGTATAAATGCACAGAATCAACCACTCCTCTGAATAGCGTTTGAAACTGATTGAAATAGTTTGTAAAACGAAGCGTCCACCCATGTATCAAATAGTGAATTGTAAAGAATTTTGGTTTTTAATTAAAAATATTAAATGTAGTAGGTATAGGAAATGCATATTTACGGAAAATGTAGGAAATAAACTTAAAAAGATACACACATTTTTATACTTTAATGCATTATATTTTTATCATACTTATTATAATACGTAATTCTATGAAACACGTCATATAAAATATATTTTAATGATTTAAAATTATTTTGTAACAAATATTTTTATCCATTTCCATCAGTTAAGGTATATTTTTTATAGTTTCATAAATAATAATCAATAAT